TTTTTTATTTTATTTGTATGTTTTATCTTTTGGGGGGAAACATTTTTTTATTCAGCTGAATTAGTATTTCTTAAATGTGTATTTACATATATTTGCATATTAGAATCTCAGAACCCTTCTGCATGAAATCTGTAAAAAAAATAAATAAAAAGATCAACCACAAGCATTAGTCCACAAAATGCAGTAGCACATTCACAACCATTGCAAAATCATTATGGCATCTAAAGAACACATCTTCATTCAGATGCACTAGAATTATAAAGTTAAACAGAGCAGAAATTCCATTAAACAGACCCCCAGAGACAGCTCACCAGGGTGCAGCTAATGATAAATTGACCTTTATGGCCTTTGGATTTCCAAATGTCTCTGCGCCATCATTGATTAGACTTTATGACACAGCAGGAGTAATAAAATCATTGTTTCCCTCATGTTAACGTCATTAAAGTTTTATTTTACATGAGTGCACATGGTGCTCGGTTTACAGGGATTTGCTGTAAAATGTGCCCCGTAAATGGGAAAACAATCATAAGTTCTACTCATGAAAATATCAAGATCACCGTCACTTACAGAGGCAGATTCCTGGGGGTTTATGCACATCAAAAAGCCGATGAAGACGAGGATGGTGAAAATGTACTTATTTAGTCTGTTCCGCTTCACTGTTAATGGTTTGGTGTAAATTAAAGCGGGCATGCCTCAGTGCGTTGATGGGAACAAACACGATGCTGAAGATGGTCTTGACGCATTACCTGCACACTCCTCCCCGCTTTGATGGACTGACTCTTATAAAACAGGTGTCTCACTGTGTCTTACATCSGTGGCTGGAACTGAGGTCTCTTGCATTGAAAAAATACTTTCACAAAGAAAAAACTCAAGCCCTTTACAGTAAGGATGGCCCGTATTGTCTGCATTGTGGGACTTCTGTTGTTTCCATTGTGTGCTGTGGAAAACACAGAGATTGAGGAGGGAATAGAAAACCTGCAACTTCGGCAAGATGGATTGACATTGCTAAGCAAGTTTCCTGACAGTTTGGTGAGTTTGTCTTTATGATCTTTTATTTACCCTCATGTCATATCTTAYCAAACTAAGGACATGCCAAATTATATATTTTTAATTCAGATTCAAATAGGCAGGTAGTCCCATCTGACAAGTGTGCTTACACTATGTAATAAATTTTTAATTTACTGTTAACACTTTTTTTGGTAACTTTAAACTGTCTTTTACAGGAATCAGCAAAGAAACAGGACCTAAGAAGTTTGCTTCATGAACTCTCCAAATCCGAAAATGCAGTTTTGTACCACAACTCCAGGGACAATGCGAGGCAGGAGAAGAATCGGCGTGATGCGAAAATGGGCTTGACGACTCGTAAACCCTGCATAATGTTCTTCTGGAAATCCACGGCTCGCTGCTTCCCCTGAGTGCTACACAACAATAAATTAATGTTCACTTTCATCAAAAGTCAAGTGTAGCATGCTTTTTTGATTTACTACTGGTTCATCCCCCCACTCAAAAGAATGCACTTTTTTAGCAATCGTGCTCACAAAATGCATTTTTGAGAAGTATGCCTGCAAATAAGATGTTTTATTATTGTTAAATCAAAAAAAAAGTTTAAATGATATATCACCATCAAAAATTATGTTTTAATTTATATGACAATTCTGGTTTTTGCAATTCCAAATCCGCCTATATAACGTAAAAACCCAACAAAAATTAAAAGAGTACATCTGCGTGTGTTTTGAAATGGTTTGTGGCTGCCAATCGTGCATTATCTATTAAGGGAGACATACCTACACATTTCTTTTGATTACAATGTGAAATACATTAATGTTCAGTTCAAACTTCTTATCTTTCTTGAAATTTTGCTTGAATCAATCCCAAGACTGTTTTAAAGCAAGGCTGATATTGGCAAACTTGAGTGATATTGTGTTTAAAATTACTGAGTAACATTTAGATTTTAATACTGAAGGAAAATTTCTAACTAAATAATTGAATATTAGTTGCAGTTTTGTATTTTATACTTTCTGATCATTGCAACCTTTAAGTTTAAACAGAACTAGATAACGCATAGCGGTAACATAATGACCCTCTCACGCACAAATGCACCAGAACTCAAAGTCTTTATTCCTAATAAATGTCATGCTACTAGGTGCATCCCAAAATTGTAGTGGTTTGGGTGTTTTGTTTTTTGTTTGTTGTTTTTTTTGTTGTTTTTTGGTGGAGGGGGTGGTCTTTGGACCTGATGGATGGCCCCTCATCAGAGCAAAACAACCAACGAAAATCTGAAGCTCCCATGTTTAATAGTTTTTGAGCTATAACCATTTTTGTATGTC